TGCTGATGCTCATGACGCTGATGACGCTCATGATGATGATGATGATGATGCTGCTGCTGCTGATGATGATGATGATGATGATGATGATGATGATGATGATGATGATGATGATGATGATGATGATAACGATGATGGTGGTGGTGATGATGATGATGACGATATCGATGCCGATCTCGATGACGATGACAATAGCGATTCCGAGTATGAGTATGATGATTGGGGTGATGATGATGGTGCTAGTGCTAGTGATGGTTCTGATAGTCGTGAGGGCATGGGGAGGACATAATCATGGATGAGAGGCGGGAGGAAGGAGAACGGGAAGATTCTGGCGGATACGAATCTCCTGAGCGGCCTTGCCGGGGCTTCCTATGGCCTCTTTGGGCGCTCTCTCTGGAGGCCCGAAAAGCTGTCCAAATTCCAGGAGAGCTCCAGGAAGCGATGATCTCCCAACTCAGGCTGGAGACCGTCGCGGATCAGAGCCCCCTGAGAGGCTCTGTTGGGCCTCCTGGGCCCTCCTTGGGGGCTTCCTCGGGAGCCCTCTCTCTCTCTCTGAGCCTCCAGGCTGTCCGACTCCCGCCCAGGAGCCCCCAGGGGCTGAAGAAAAGCTCCAAGAAGCCCCGATCTCCCAACTGAGGTTGGAATTCGTGGTGAATCAGGGCCCCCTGGGAGGATCTGCGGGGGCCTCCTGGGGCCTTGAAATTTTCTCGGGGGGCCTTTCTGTCTCCCTCTCTCCCTCTCTCTCTCTCTCTCTTTCCCTCTCTCGTTCTGAGCCTCTAGGGAGGCCCGAAAAGCTGTCAGAATCCCGCCCGCGAGCTTCCATGGGCTGAAGGAGGACTCCACGAAGCCACGATCTCCTAGGTGAGGCTGGAGATCGCGGCGGATTATGGCCCCCCTGAGAGGCTCTGCCAGCGCCTCATGGGGCATCCTTGGGGATTTCTCGGGGGCCCTCTCTCTGTCTCGGAGCCTCCAAGGAGGCCTGGAAAGCTGTCCGAATCCCGCCCACAGATTCCCCGACTCCTCGACTCTCCGACTCCCCGACTCCCCGACTCCCCGACTTCCCGACTGGCCCGATTGCCCGACTCCCCGATTCCCCGACTCCACCATCGGCCCGACTGGATCGACTCCCCGACTCCCTGGCTCTCCGACTCCCCGACTCCCCGAATTCCGACTCCACGACCTTCCGACTCCCCATCTCCGCGGCTCTCCAACTCCTCGACTCCCCGAATGGCCGACTCCCCGATTCCCCGACTCCCAGACTTCCCGACTCCCGAACTGGCAGATTCCCATGACTCCTCTATTCCCCGACTCCCCGAATGGCGGACTCCCCGACGCCCGACTGGCCGACTCCTCGACTCCCCGACTCCCCGACTCCCCGACCCCCCGACTCCCCGACTGCACGACTTCCCGATTGGCCGACTCCCCGATTAGTCGACTCCCTGATTGGCCGATTGGTCTACTCCCTGGACTCTCCAACTCCCCGAATGGCGAACATCCCGACTCCCCGATTCCCAGATCCCCCCACTCCCCGACTCCCCGACCGACCCGGCTCGCAGAACTCCCCGACCCCCCCTGCTCCCCGACTCTTCGACTCCCCCGTCTGGCCGACTCCCTGACTCCCCGACTGACCCAGCTCCGCGACTGGCCGACCCCCCGACTCCCCGACTGGCCGACTTCGGACTCCCCAACTCCCCGACTCCCCGACTCTCCGACTCTCCAACCCCCGACTCTCCGACTCCCCGACTCCCCGACTCGACTCTTCGACTCCCCGACTCCTCGACTCCCCGACTGGCCGACTCCCCGACTCCCCGATTCCTCGACTCACCGACCCGGCCGACTCCACGTGGCCGACTTGCCGAATGGCCGACTGGCCGACTGGCTGGCTAGCCGACTCCCCGACTCCCCGTCTCCCCAATTTTCCGATTTCCGACCAGCTCGACTCCCCGACTCCCAGACTCCCCGACTCCCCGATTGGCCGAATAATCGATTCCCCGACTCCCCGACTCCCCGACCCTAAGACACCCCGACTCCCCGACTCCTGGACTGGCCGAATGGCCGCGATTCCCCGACAAGTCGGCTCCTCATCTCCTCGTATCCCCGTCTGGCCGACTCCCTGACTCCGACTCCCCGACTGGCCGACTCCCCGACTGGCCGATTCCTCGACTCCCCGACTTCTCGACTGGCCGACTCCCCGACTGGCCGTCTCCCCGACTGGCCGACTCCCCGACCCCCAGACTCCTCGATTGCCTATCTCCCAGACTCTCCGACCCCCGGACCCTCCGACTCTCCGACTCCCCGAGCAGCCCGACTCCCCGGCTCCCCGACTCCCCGACCCCCCGATTCCCCGACCCAACAACGATCGGGTGTCGGGGAGTTCGTTCCGGTGCCTCAAAAGATGTCTCAGTCCCCTTGGGGGGAATATTGGGGCGTCTTGAGAGTCTCCTGGGGACCTCTTTGGGGTATCTTGAGGCTTCTCGGGGACCTCTGGGGGCGTCCTGGACACCTCTTGGGGCCAGCTTGGGACACCCTTGGGAGCCGTGGGGGCCATCTTGAGGCCATCTCGGAGGAGATCAATCAAAGGAAGGAGGGGAGTTCCTTGATTGGGTCCCCCACAGAGGGGGCCAAACTGTGGCCAAAACCTGCCCGCCGAGGCGATCTTGGACGTTCCAGCCCCTCACGATGATTCTGGCTTGCTCGCCGAGGCCATCTTGCACGCTCCAGCCCCTCGCGATACGCCCCGTCCTGTCCTGTGGGAGGGAGGGGGGGGAGAGTACCCCCCCCAGAGGAGAAAACAGGGTGGACTAATAACCTCCCTAAACCACTCACGCCCTGAAGGGCTTGTGTGATTTTTTCATAGACTCATAGGCGGACAAGGAGGACGAGGAGGAACATTGCCAGAATGGGGAGGAGGAGGAGGAGGAGGAGGAGGAGAAGGAGGAGGAGGAGGAGGAGGAGGAGGACGAGGAGGAGGAAGAGGACGAGGAGGAGTAGGTGGACGAGGAGGAGGCGGAGGAGGGCAAGGACGGCACCTAGGACGGGAGGGAGCGAATGAAGAGTCGAAAGAGAAGGAGGAGAAGGAGGAGGAGGAGGAGGAGGAGGAGAAGGACATAACAAAGGACGGAAGAGTATGAAGAGGAGGAGGAGGCATACGAGAAGGAGGAGAAGGAGGAAGAGGAGGAGAAGGGGGAGGAGGAGAAGGAGGAGAAGGACGACGAACAGATCGACGACAATGGGGATACACAGGAGAGGATGATGATGATGATGATGATGATGATGATGATGATGCTGCTGCTGCTGATGCTGATGCTGATGCTGATGCTGATGCTGCTGATGATGATGATGATGCTGATGATGATGAAGACGATGATGATCTTGATCATGATGATAACAATGCTGATGGTGATGATGAAGATGAAGATGAACATGATGACGATGTTGATGATGATGATGATGATCATGCTGATGATGATGATGATGATGATGGTGATGATGATGATGATGATGATGATGGTGATGATGATGATGATGATGACGATGATGATGATGATGATGATGATGATGATGATGATGATGATGATGATGATGATGATGATGATGACAAGGAGGACGAGAAGGAGGAGAAGGAAGAGGAGGAGAGTGAAGAGGACGTGGGGAGAAGGAGGACACAATGGACGAGGAGGAATAGGAAAAAGGAGGAGCGGGGGAGGAGGAACAGTAGGATGAGGTTGAGGGAAAGGAGGACGGGTAGGAGGAAGAGGAGGACATTAAGGAGAGGCTGGACGTCGTCGTCGCCGTCAACGTCTACGTTTGATGGCGTCGCTGTCCGAGATCGCGTCTGCACTTGGGGACGTCTGCGCTAGAACCTAAGCGCGCGCGAAGCACGCGCGTGTGGGGGCGTGTGGGAGAGCTCAAGACGCCTCCAAGAAGGCTTAGAGACCCCAAAAATGGCACCCGAGAGGCCCTCACAGACGCCCTCCAGAACGCCCACACGCAGCGTCCCAGAGCTCCCCTGGAGCATAAAAGCTGGATCAATCCGAAGGACAACTTGACATTGTTGAAGATCTCGCCTGTGCGCTTCAGAAGAGGCTCTCGAGCTCCTTGGAGGCGCTCCCACGGGCCCCGGGAGCCCCGACGAGGAGCCCCGCCGAGCGTCCCAGGAACAGCCCCCCCGTCCCCCCAGCGCCCAGAAGCCTCTGAAGACAGCTTGGGTTTCGCAGGCCTTGCTGCGGAAAGCGTGACGCTCCCGCACCAAAAGTCCACGGACGTCCTGGGGTGTCAGGATTGGGTTTCTCGTGGAGGGTGCTGCTCCCATCGTACTTAAGGACCACTCCCCCGAAGTAATGTCGAGGAAAAGTATCGAAATGACGTCTAACAAGAATCGCTTCCCAGGGCCCGACGCGTCAAAACCTTTGAAGCTTCGGTACCTCCTTGGTGCTCGAAGTTCTTCGAGGCGATCCAGGCGACAGTAGGCTGGAACATCATCAGTGGAGGGTCTCTTTGTGGTCGAGCCCCTGCTGCCCGCTGAGAACGTCCAGGCGTGCCCCGCCCCGCGCACCCGCCGGCGCCGCCCAGAGCTGGGCCGGTGGCCAGCGGACGAGCGCGCTGCTGCCAGCAGCCTTGCGTCGGGCCTGTCCCTCCACAGGGGGGGCACTCAGAACTAGTCCACAAATCGTCGGGGGATGCCCTTTTGCAGCTATTGTTTGGCTATTTTTGAGTATCTGTTCGACTGGTTTTATTTTTCCTCACAACACTCAGGAGGAAAAGACACACACAGACACAAGTAATTCTCGATTCCCCAGAACATATGGGAAAATATGGGAGGTGGTGGGGAAGACAAAAAACCAAGAAACACACACGAACAGATGGGGAATATCCTGTTATTTGTGTGTGTATATGTATCTGTGTGTCCCGGGGCCCCTCCCAACACCGCCTGCAGGAGGACCTGCCCGACCTAAGCCGATCGAGCGCTGCTCTGCCGGCGATCCCCCGGGCCGCCACCGGCGGGCCGCGCCCCGATGGCGTGGCGGGCCGTGGCCCGCGCCCTGCTGGCCGCGGCGGCCGCGCCCGCGGCGGCGGCCTCCGACTGCGAGTGCCCCTCCACCCCGGCTCCGGCCGCGAGCGGGTACCCGGAGGAGGAAAACATCGGGGGCGGCAGAGAGGGGTGGCGGACAGGGTTGTGTCGGGCCTGTCCCCCAGACAGGGGGATTTTCGACGAGAAACAAAAATATACCCCAAAAATAGTAAAAAACATATTCCAAGAATACTATGGGGGCGATTTTTTGCGTATTTTTTTGCCTTCTTGGAGGATTTGTGGGGTATTTTTTTTTTTTTCGTGGAAAATCCTCCTGTAGGGGGACACGCCCGACATAGGACTAGGGGGGGTGGACAGCGTGGCGGGGGCCATGATCTCTCCCCAGATTTCCTGGCGCCGCTTCTTATTTCATCGCGTCCCTGGCCCCCCCCCTCCTGGGCCGCGCACATGCCGCCGGCCATGATTTGCACCCCCCCCTCTTGGACACCCCCCTTCTTGGCCGCTCCCGAGAAAGGATACCCTTACATCGGCCCTTCCCTCGTTTCCCCCCTCTCTGGGCCTCCTGGCTAGCCACCGTCGCCACCGCCGGATGCGCCTCGGAATCCTGATCAGAGCGCCGCCCGGGAGAGGTCCAGGGAGTAGCGGTAATGGAGGATGACGATTAATAAATGACCGGAGGTCGTGTTCACGCGGCGGCGCCCGGGATGACGATTCGAAAAAACCGGCCGCGGGCTGGAAAACAAGTTTTTTGTGTAAAAAACCGTTCCCCTCCAGTCAGAGAATTATGCATAAATAGCAGAAAACTATGTTTGGATCGTTCTCCCCAATTTTTTATAAATCGTCATCCCGCATAGCCTTGTGGTATTTCCCCAGGTACGACTGCTCGCTGCCCGGGCTGGACGTCTTCGCGCCGGGTGGGGGGCGGGCGGGGCTGACGGTCAACTACCTGTCCTCCGTGACGGACAGCAGGGGAGGAACTGATGCTGCTACCCTTCGCCCGGTTTCCCCTGTTTCGGCCTCCTTCGGGAGCCTTGAGACGGGGGTCAATGCAAACGGGGGTCAGCCAGAGCGCTCGATCCTGCAGGATCCTGCAGGGCCAGGGTCGCATTGACCCGGGTTTGGGTGCACGATCCTGCAGGATCTTGCAGGATCCTTCGCGCTGACCTGGGTTTGGGTGCAGGATCTTGCAGGATTCTGCAAGGCCTGGCTGACCCGGGTCTGCGTCGACCCGGGTCAGAGGATCCCCGGTTCCTCGGAGGCCCTCGTTGCCACCGCTGGACTCGCCTCGACATTCTGGTCAGAACTCGAACCCCAGGAGGTGCCCGGGGAGCAGAGGTAGATCGGTACCCTTTGGCTTCCCCAGGACACCAGCTCGCCCCAGTTCCGCGACAGGGCCCGCGAGTTCGAGGAATGCACGGGGGTTCCGATCTCAGTGGGCCCTGGAAGCGACAGGGCCGTTGTGCTACCGGTCCCGCTCTGCCGTTCTTGCTTTGTATAGTTTGCGTTTTGTGTGTTTAACAACTGAGTTATAAAGAATTACAGGTGGTCCCACATTAAAGGCGTTATAGCTGTTTGTGGTATTTGTTGTAACCCAGTTATAATTACCGCTACTTTATGCTAATTCATGTTAATGGTTTGTAGTCATTTTGGCTCGTGTTAGAGCCTTTACTTACAACTTCCAAGATCGCCCAAGACGGGTTTTCGGATCGGCCGCCAGGCCTCCAGGAATAGGGGCGGGGTCAGGCGGAGTGGCCCTCAGGGCTCCAGGATAAAAAAAGCCAAGGGAGATGCGAGCATCCAACACCGTGGAAATCAGCACGCGACCAACTTTCTACAAGATTTCTCGAGCGAGGAACCCATTGGCTCGATCAGGTCTCTTGTTCCGTCGGGCTCCACCGCAGGGCCTCTGGGAGGGGGAGGAGGAGGAGGAGGAGGAGGAGGAGGAGGAGGAGGAGGACGAGGAGGAGGACGAGGAGGAGGACGAGGAGCAGCAGCAGCAGCAGCAGCAGGAGCAGGAGAAGGCGGAGGAGGAGGAGGGGGAGGAGGAGGAGGAGGAGGAGGAGGAGGAGGTGGAGGAGGAGGAGGAGGAGGAGGAGGAGGAGGAGTGGAGGTAGGACCCACGAGCAGGATTGATTTCCCGCCAGCTTCGCAGGAGAGCCTCTGAAGTGACGCTCAGAAAGAACAAGGAAAATGAAGTTCGCATGAGTTATTATCGCACCTCAAGTAAGTCAGCGCACAAAGTACGCGCTCGACTGGGAGAATGGAGAGACCGTCGCCCTTTCTCCATGCAGACGTGTCTGCTACTGGTGCAAACACGTGCACAAGCGCGCCAAAGCCGTGCAACATGCCAAAATGGCCTCTGGTGAATCCGACTGCGAATCCACAGCGCCAGCGATCATGCATCCTCCAACACAGCAGGTCATTGTTAAAGAAGCGACCTCGGGGAGTGTCCACGCCGCGAGACCAATTCGTCACAGTAGCTGGGGTCCCGCCGCCCAAGCCTAGCAGTCTGTTGTTTGTCCGATGCACTGGGTCTAAACTGACACATTTCTGAGACGCATTCCTCAGGAGGGGAAGAACCACACAGACACAATTCATCGTCGATCCCCAGGGAAATACGGGAAAATATGGGAAGTGGTGGGGAAGACAGAGACCCAGAAAATATGGGAAACTATTGGGGATTATCTTATTTGTGTGTATTTATTTGCGAGTCCTGGGGCCCCTTCAGAAACTCATTCCCTTGGGAGAAGTTGTGCACCATTCGGCGGCGCTCCGTGGCCAGCGCGGTCGAGCATGCAGACCTGTCTGCAGACGACGTTGTTGTTTGAACGCCCTATGCTCGCGCTCAGTAGAGAAGCACGGCAAGAGAATTCCAACGTCCCGCCAAGACTCCATCGCGCGCCACGTATAGTGTATCTTGGGCTGCAGGCACTCTGGGTATAGCTGGGCATACAGCTTTGCAAACTGTTGATATGCATCCATGGTTGCCCTCGCATCCGAAGGGTCTCCTCGTTCGAGCATCTCGAAGATCGCGACGAGCATGTTCAGAACCAGAAGGTGTTCTCCCAATTGATTGTGAGCATGCCCCACAAACGTGTCCATGAACATGGACAGCACAAGCGCGCCCGTGAGGATTTCCGAAGCGAATGCTTTGAGGTGTTTGGTAATTCCATGGGCGTATCGGTCATGGAAGGACTTCTTTGGAAACTGCTGGTGGCCCCGCGGGTGCCTCAAGTTGCTGGCCCAATCGTCGACCATTTCCAGGGTGAACGCCGCGCTGTAGTCGAGAAGAGCCCCCAGCACGCGGTTGAGCACGAACTGCCCAATGCCACCTGATGCGGCCAGGCAGTGCACCCAGTCCACGTAGATGCATGCTGGAGGCCGCGTAATCTACATTATCTCCCTATCCCACGGCAGTGCGTCTTCGTCATATTTGATCCCTGGGAAGTGTTGAGCATCCTTGAGCTCACGATTCCTGCCCCTTGCCGCGAGGTCAGACAACTGCTCCACGACCTCCAGCAGGTCTTCAAAAGATCTCGGTTCTACCTTGCCGAACGAAGGGTCAAATATATGAAGGACATTGTGGTCGTTCTCGAAAAGCTCACACCTGCCGACCACGTTCCTACACTTGGGACAGGGCACGCTGCCAGCTGCGCCTTTGAAGCTAAATGCGTTCACATGTGCTTCAAAGTCGGCCAGGAAGCCAGCGAAGCGTGCCTTCATGAGGTGCCGATGTCCGTTCAAGTTCACCCTGATTCCAACGTTGTCCAAACACCAACATTTTGAACCACCGAACCTTGACACAATAAACTTTAACAACATGGAGTCTGTCAAACCTGCTTCGTTCATGCCGTTCTTCCGCACGTATGCGAACGGTGTCCATCCGTCTGATCGTGAACGAAACCAAGGTGGATTTTCAAGTATGGCCCGGCAAGCACAATCGCTGCTCCTCCCCGCGTCTGGTCGTGTGTCGTTCCCAGGGGTTGCTTTGTCCACGTAGAGCGCTATCCGCAGACGTCCATCTGTAGCCTCAGAAGCAATGCCTGACAAGAACTCACTGAAAGCCGGGAACGACGCCGACGCGTGGTATAGCCACGCTTGCGCCGATATATACTCGATTTCGAAACCACCCTTCTTGCCTTGAACAGGTTCGTGTTGCACCAGAGTGCTGTAAGGCGTGACCGTGCGCCCAAGCGAAAGCAAGTCTTGCGATCGCAGTGCTTGCACGTGGCTGATGGAGACCGTCCGAAGCCCACGAGCCGGCCTCACGCGCCTGGCAGACTCGAGGACGCTGCGAGAGGCGACATTCGTGTCCAACAGCGCGCTAGTCAAATCTATGAGGCCTGGATTGTCCAGCGCAGCTAGTACCATGACAGCTCGAGCCCAAATTGGCGACGGAGAGGAGGTAGAGGAGCTGCAGAGGGATGACATGCAGGAGTGGGTGGGGTGAATCTTGGACGGGAATGTGTCCAATGTTTGTTTGGGGTTCTGGCTCAACGTATCGATACTCACGTTTGGCTCAAAATGTCGAACTCTTCGTCGTCCTCCTCCTCTCGACCTCCTCCCGACCTCCTTCACTCCTCCTCTTCCTCCTCTTCCTCTTTATCCCCCCTTTATCCTGCTCCTCCTCCTCCTCCTCCTCCTTCTCCTCCTCCTCCTCCTCCCCTCTCCTCCTCCTCTCCTCCTCCTCCTCCTCCTCCTCCTCCTCCTCCTCCTCCTCCTCCTCCTTCTCCTCCTCCTCACTCTCCTCCTCACCCCTCTCCTCCTCAGGACCCCTCGGTGCCCACAGTGGTCGTGGCAGCAATGCACGGCGGTTGTGTAACGATAGGGGGAGGGCAGACAAGCCAAGGTGTTTCGGGTCTTCATCTGGCCTCGGTCCGACGTCTTCTCGAAACCACGGTTGGCTGGGCTGTGTCGCAACCGCAGTGCAGGCTTATCCCGCATGCCTGCGTGAGCAGTCGTGCGCCGTAGGGCGCACCAGAGAACAAAAGGCCGCCTGCTTGCCCCGAGCAACTCAGAGACGAGAGCGTGGGGCAAGCGTAGCGGTAGCGAGCGCGGGCCTCGTACTTCTTAGGGTTCGTGTTGATGTCTTTCACCAAGGCCACGACTTTCGTCCACTGCGCCCTCATCGACGAGAGGTCCGAGCCCCAGGGGAAAGCCCAGTCATTTCGGCGGACAGGCCCTGGCTTCACCCTCCACGCGCGCGCCTGTTGCATAGTGTAGATGGCCACGCAGCCATAGTGGCGGTGCGGATTCGACGTCTTGGAGGAGAAGTGCAGCTCGCTGCTCACGGAGCTCGCAGGGGGCTTGGCCGAGTTCTTTGCCGAGGCCTTGGGCTTAGCTTTCGCTCTGGCCTTGCCCTTGGCCTTGCCCTTGTTGGGCGTGGCCTTGGGCTCGGCCTCGTCCTGGTCCTCGTCGTGGTTGACCTCCAGCTCCTCGAAGCCGTGGGTCGCAGCCGCGGGGCGCTTCTTCCCCCTGGGCTCCACGGGGCTGCTCGTCGGCAGCGGGCCCGAGGGTGGCGGGCTACAGGCTGGCGGAGCAGAAGTTGGCGTGCCTCCTCCCGCTGAGAGCTGCGAAGACACCCCAGGCGACGCGGAGCTGAGCACGGGTGAAGCCGACGGTGGTTGCAAGCCCGCCCCATGGGCAGCAGACACCGCCCCGCCAGAGAAGACCGACGCTTGGTTCCCCTCGGGCGGAGGTCCGCCGTAGGTTGCGCCGTACCACGGCAACGCAGGTGCAACGGCAGGCTGCTCTGCGCACGGCTGAGGTACCCAGCCCGATGGTGGCGGGAGCGCAAGTTGTTGAGGTTGCGCTGCCCGCTGGGCACCTCCCCAAGACGGCGCCTGTTCTGGCGGGAACATCTGCCTCATGGTGCTCCTGGGCGCAGAACCCTGGATGCCCGCAACTCCCGTGCGGGTGCTCCTGCATGGGCCGTTGCTCACCATCAACAGCTGTACGGAGTCAATCGTTGGCGAAGGCTTCGCCGTTCAGCGAAGGGTGCTGGTCCTTGAAGGTCTGCAAGCAGAGGGGGTAGTCCGCTGGGCCCCTCTGAACTCCCTGCGCCCCTCTGCGAACGAAGCCCTTCAACTCGTTGGTGTAGCTGTAGGACTCAGATGTTGGCATCGGCTGGTGCTTGTAAAGCGCCACCGCCGTTGCATGAGCGTAAGTGGGGCACGTTGCCTTCAGGATGCGAAGGTGGATCATGGCGCCAGCCATGTGGAAGAGCTTGGCCTGCGGACCTAAGCTACCCGAAAAGACATTCCAGTCCGGCTCCTTCAAATACATTTCGATGTACATCGCGGTCTGTTTTGGCGTGCTGGCCACGCCTCGGCTACCGCCGAGCATGCTGGTCCCGGTGTCGGCGGCATCGGACGAGTTCGCCGTCTGGCCATCAGGAAGAGGGTCGCATCTGGAGATCTG